TTAAATTGTCATAGTTTTCCTAAGTGGGAAAAATACATGAATAATTTTATTGTATAAAATGAAATACTTGAAAGTTCCAAGGTGCTTTTGAAATAATTATTTCAGGGAAACTGATAGGATAAGAGAACATAAGCATGCTTTATTTTATAATACCAAGCCCTCTTCTCTATATCATTATTAACAAATGAAAGCTTTTGGCTCCAGTCTGAAATTAAAGGCATAGGTCCTAGATTTCCAATATATAAATTTTCTTGTCTTGGATTCAAGAGAGTGACATAGGTTGTTTAGCTGATAGCTTATATAATGTGCAGACATTCTTCGTCATTTTTTGTTTACACTGTGTGTACATTAATAGTGGGGTCCTGTGTATTGTAAGGGAGTCCTTGGGTGGTGCAAACAGTTAAAGCGCTTGGCTGCTAACTGAAAGGTTGGAGGTTCAAGTTGGCCCAGAGGCTCCTTCGAAGAAAGGCCTGATGATCTACTTACGAAAACTCAGCCACCGAAAATCTTTGGAGCACAGTTTTTATTCTAACTTATATGCAGTTGCCATGAGTCAGAGTCGACTCCATGGCAACTTTTATTTCTGTAGGATATATTCCTAGGAGTGGGATTGCATTTTGTAGTGTTTTTTTTTTTTTTTTGTTAACGTGTTGTAAACTGTTTTTCTCAGGTTCTGCTTCCACCTGCTATTGCAGTATTCCCTGACTTCTATTTCTGGATGGGAGCACAAACACTGTCTTCTTGATATCACAGATCCACCCTTTCCTTCCTCTGCATGTGGCCCTTGATGCTGCTGTGCCTCAGAGGCCGTGTAAAAAGCCTTGATGCCACTGCTGCTGTTGGTGCAATCTCTTTCCCATTTATGTCTGCCCCGGCCTTGTTGGGCTATGCAAGAAGCGCCATGCCCTGCTGGCATGCTCTGCTGGGCCCAATGCCACGTTACGTCTTTTACTGATGAGACACGCAGGTCCCCAGGCTGCACTGCCAGGTGCTCTGAATGTCTTCCAGGCTGGTTAGTGAAATCAGTTGTTTGATCTTGTTTAAAGGGCTGTCTCTAAGACGGGGGCCAGAGGGCAATTGGAGTGATAGATCCTTTGCAGTACTCAAAACTCCTTCTTCCTTTTGACTCCAGGAGATTGATATTGGGCTGAACTTTTATGCTTTCACCTACTAGCCTTAGTCCAGGTTTTTCCCCATGGTGTTCATTGCTCCCTTGTGCAGACGCTCTCCAGAAGAGGAATGCCTCCCATCTTTTATTAAGCAAGTCTTTATGGAGGATCTATTCCACACTAGGTACTCTGCTAGGTGCTGGGGGTACAGGAACTCCCCTTTTCCACTCTTGTTAGTTGCTGTCAAGTCAGCTAAGACTCACGGTGACGTTGTATATGCCTAATTAATCCCTACCTATCGTCAGGTCTCAGTTTGAATGTCGCTTCTCAGATGAGTCTCCCTCTTCTCCCCAGTCCGATTCTGATCCCTCATGATAGTTTCTCATCACACAATTTACTTTCTTTTAAAAGCCTTGTCACAAGTTATTATTCTATATTTATTGGCATAATTATTTGTTTAATGTTTGTGTCCCCAGTAGATTCTAAGAGTCATAAAAGCAAGGACTGTGTCCACACTATTGGCTACGCTGTCCCCAGCACCCAGCACGGTACACCACTCTAATATTTCTGCTTATAATAGGCAGCTGGGAGACTAAGTAGTGCATTTTTAGTATCTGCTTCCTTCCTGGCTTGTTGTTAGGTTACCTTTCCTGGTGATTTCTGTGTCTGTTTCTCTAGGCTACTCTGTCTTTTTATTTAAATATCTTGTATCGCTTTCCCGTTCTCTTTGCAAGAGGAATGCATGCTCACTGTAGCAAATTCTTCACTACTAATTCGCCACATTATATCTCATTTTTTCCAATGTAAGCTATCTATAACTTTAGGGGAAAAAATCAGAAATAAAAATAAATTGATGCAAATAAATACTAGAGTAAAATAGATAGGAGTCACTCTCTTAAACACATCCTGGTTATCAAAATGACATTTTCATAGTTATTTGGTTTGCACAGTAAAGACAAAAAGTTGTTTTATCAACTGGCATCCGATGTGGGGACTATGCAAACGGCCGGCTATTTTTACTTTTTACAGAGCAATATGAACCTCTAAGGAAATGAGTGCAGAGCTCTCTTGATGCTTGCATATTTCACAGATTTTGTACAAGTAAATATTGTTTTATCCCAAATAGAACAATAACAACAACAAGAAAAAGAATACAACAGTTGTAAGTGGAAATTTAAATAATAATAATCTGGAAGAGAAACTAATCATAGAGCCAACAGGAATAGTATCGAATACACCAGAGTTTACATTTCTCAGAAAGATGTTTGCTGGTCCACTCTAACGACCAAAAGATTTCTGGTTTCCTCATTTCTTCCTTGCCCTCCCAGAGGCCAACAGAGCTTTGCAGCCAAGAGTTCTAATGCTTCTCACTGGAAAGAGGATAGCAGAGTCTCTGTGTCCCCAAATCTAAATTAGTCCTCAATGTGCTGTGGAGAGATAGGAAACTCTCAGCCCTAATTTCACCAAATACATACGAATGGGGGCTTTAGAATCTCATCAAAAACAGACTCTAGCTAAGAAGTCACTGTTCTTACAAACAGCTCTTAGAGCCTCAGCTATTAAGACTTCAGTGACTGTTTGAAAAATGTTAATGTGTCTCTTCTTAGATTGCTGCTTCCTGGTTTGAAACAATGCTGAATTTGCAATCCTCTTCAAAAGCCAGAATTAGGCTTTGTGTTCTTAATGTTGACAAGGGAATTTGGATTTTCATTCACACAGCTTTATCTGCTAAGAGAGGTGAAGGAGAGTTCTCTAGGACATGAGATACTCTTGCAACATATTTTCTATATTCGTCGTTCTTAGGAAAATAAGAGATGCAATTGATGCAAGCGAGCATCGAAGTTTAAAAAGAGCTGATTCTATGAATATTAAAATAGTTAATTAGTATAGAATTTCTCTCTTTCTTGAACACTATTTATTCAGATGATACCCACCCATGCCACTTTAACCTCTAAGGTTACTAACAGGAATTGAAGGTCATGGTCCTGGCATTTACTTACGAATGATTTATACCAGAAATCAGTAACGTTTCATCAAGAATTTAAATTATCTTTTTTAGTTTATAAAAATACTCTATTCATGCTTAAAATTTTAAAATAATTAGTATATTGCATAAAAAGATGAGATATACTGTGTGTTTTTTAAACAAAAAACAACTGTTTCTAGTAAAAAAGCATTTTTTACTCTTTAATCATTGTAAGTTTTTAATTTTAAAATGTTTTCACTTTCAGCTCAATACAATTCAACACAATTTTTTTTGACTTTGTCTCTAATCTTTAGAACTATTCATTCTAATGACTCCCTTTAAAGTCTTGTCAGGTAATAAAGACAGCTCAGCAGGTTGGCTGAGTAAACTTTGTCAAGGCCTGACAAAGTCTTACCAACAAAAATGGTGCAAAAACCAAAGGCTTTAAGTGGATAAATGCTTGAAAAATAATGTGTTACTTTTCATGTATAAAAACAATACCATGAATACCATTAGTAGGTCAGGATATCTGAAGGGTCCTTCATAATCCCCCAACCTCAACATGTACACGCAGATCTGCATGTGTGCACGTATGTGCACAAAGCAAATGCATATACACATATGCACATGTGCATGCACACACACACGTACACATGAGCACACACACAGCATAATAGTGATGGGTCAAATGCCCTCTCATTTAGATGACTGGTGTGTTGACCAGGCACAGTCTCATGGCCACGGAAGTGATGCTTTCTCTAGTCTAACCAATTGTACCGGTCAGTTTAGAAAACCTTTCGGAAAGAACAGCTTAAAAATCTTGGATTCAGGGTGTCACCCTTCACTCTGACTCCACTAGTCAAGTAGATTCCCTAATTTGAGCACCTAACTGCAAGTCTGGAGACTTGGGTTGTTGTCATCTCTGTAGGCCTCTGTTTCTTCACCTATAAAATGATGAGGTTGGACTGGGTAAATGTGAAGATTTATTTAGCCACCAGAACCTACACTTTTATGATATTACTAGGTTTTATAATTAGCACATGATATATTGCCTCTAGACAGGTAATAACAGCCATAAAGTTAAGAGTTTATCAATTGGAGTTAAACAAATCTCGCTGTGAATTCCAGCTCTGCCTATTACTGTGTATTTGAATTTGGGCAAGTCATTTAACTTCTCGGGCCCCAGTTTCCATAGTTGTAAAATGACACTGTGTATTAGTTTCCTAGGGAGACCATAGCAAATTACCACAAACCAAGTGACTTAAAATAATTGAAGTTTATTATCTCAAAGTTCTGGAGGCCAGAGTCTGAAATCAAAGTGTTGACAGAGTTGGTTCCTTCTGGAAGCTCTGAGGGAGAAACCATTCTGTGCTTCTCTCCTAGTTCCTGGTGGTTGCTGGCAATCCTCAGTGCTCCTTAGCTTGTAGACACTTCACTCCAACCTCTGCTTCTATCTTTACACCGCCTTTGTCTCTGTGTCTCTGTGTGCCTTTTCTGTGTATTACAAGGACACTCTCATTTAGGACTCACCCTAATCTCATCTTGACACTTAGCTTAATTACATCTGCCAAGACCCTTTTTCCAAATAAAGTCACATTCTGAGGCTCTGGGTGGACAATGGATTTTAGGGGGACTATCCCACTACACCCACTACAGACAGTAATCACTATCTCTCAACTTTGTTCTAAGGATTAAATGAGATAATATGTGAAAGTGCCTAGATCAATAACCAATAATGGTTATTACTACAACCTGGTAAAAATGATTTAGGATCCATATCTGAAAAATACAAAGACAGGAAGAGCCTTCTACCTGTTTGTATTTTTTCGGTATGCTATACATTGTTATCTTAAAGTTTTATGTATAAAACAGGCCTCAAATGTGAGAATACTTATAATGTTATTTTTAACATGAATTTATTGCAGGTAGTGAAGACAGGCACATTCATACCTCCACTTTGCAACAAATAACAACTGTGACTGAACAAGTGAGGCAAAAAGCAGAAAACCCTGCGCCTCGCCAGGCAGCCAGCAGAACTGAGTTGTCTCAACATGGAGAAGCCACAACACGGAGCCTGGCTCCTGTGTTAGCGGGACCCGTGGAGCCGTCCTTCGACTCAGAAATTCTGAGGACAATGTCCCGGAGAGACGTGCGGGCAGAGATATTCCTGTGGAGCTTTATCTTGTGGTTTGACACAGTTGAAATGGTGCGAATTGCAGGTCACTCTGCTGTGTACAAGTCCGGCTGGCTATATCCAGTTTACATATTTAGTTTTATTTCTCTGCTTCGAATTATATTCACACCCCAAAACCCCCTTCTAAATTCCCTGGACATCCTGCTTCAGGATTTGCCCTTTATTTTTGTTAGACTTAGTTTACTCATTGTCCTGGGGACTATCACACCAGTACTGGGTCTTTGTAAAAATGTGTTAGTGACTCTGTCTTATATTTACTTTAATTACTTAACCAAACAGGAAGTTTTCTCTACCTTCCAAACTTCTTAATTCTAAAAAGAAAGTATAGTAGAGTAAAACCTCTTCATGTATGCATGTGGGCAAATTTGTAATAATTTTATCTAGGGCATACATTTTTGCACTATATAAAGAAATTAAGAGTAGATTGTAAAGAGAAGATACTTTTTTAATAACTAGAATATCAGTTTTTATGTATACAAATGATACTAAATTAAAAAAAGTTATATTCTTACAAATTGGCTTTCCTGGATCTCTAGAAAATGTTACTAGTTAATTTTAGTTAGTTAAGTATACTGCACTTTTTCTGAAAAAAGTCTTCAGTAAAGATTTTGAAAACATGAGAATGTATTTTCCCACTGTTGGTCCGTGAATGAGATTTTTATCATTTATATAAATTAAAGACCATTAAATGAATGAATTAGCTAAAAATTAATTTTTACAAAATGCACCTGAAGTTATTGAATAATTTTTAGATTACACTTTAAAAAAAAAATCTAAATTTTAGTTTTAGGGTCGTTTTCAAACATGGGATGATCTTCTTTATTCCACTGTGGCAAGTGACTTTTATTTATTGGATTGATTTCAGCATAAAGAGCTATTCAGTTGAACAGATATGTAAATCAGTTTAAGGCTTAGCTGTTTAGCTAGTATTGCAGTACTAGCATGAATGTTGTTTAGTATAATGAAGTCAAAGTACATTAATAACACCCGGATAAAGTTTTATAATAGAAAGCCATGCATTGAAGTTGCAGACTTTAAAGTAAAATACTATTTTGTTTGTGGAATTTGATACTATTATAAAAATAATCAATCACAAGCCCTATTTAAAACTGGGAGTTCAATTTACAAGTATAATACCAAATTCTGTCTTAGTCAGCTAGTGCTGCTGTAACAGAAATACCACAAGTGGATGGCTTTAACGAACAGAAGTTTATTCTCTCATGGTCTAGTAGGCTAGAAGTCCAAATTCAGGGCATCAGCTCCAGGGGAAGGCTTTCTCTGTTGACTCTGTAGGAAGGTCCTTGTCATCAATCTCCTCCTGAACTAAGAGCTTCTCCAAGCAGGAACCCTGGGTCCAAAGAATACACTCTGCTCCTGGCACTGCTTTCTTGGTGGTATGCGGTCCCCCTGTCTCTCTGCTGGCTTCTCTCTTTTATATCTCAAAAGAGATTGGCTAAAGACACAATCCAGTCTTGTAGACTGAGTTCTGCCTCATTAACATAGCTACCTCGTATCCCATCTCATTAACATCGTATATTTACAACACATAGGAAAACCACATCAGATGGCAAAATGGTGGACAATCACACAATACTGGGAATCATGGCCTAGCCAAATTGATACACATATTTTTGGGGGACACAATTCAGCCTATGATATTCCACTCTTTGTTGTTGTTGTTAGGTGCCATTGAGTCAGTTCTGACTCATAGCGACCCCATGTATAACAGAATGAAACATTGCCAGGTTCTGCGCCATCCTCACAGTCGTTGTTATGCCATTGTGCTCAATCCATCTCTTGAGGGTCTTCCTCTTTTTCACTGACCCTCTACTTTACCAAGCATGATATCCTTCTCCAGGGACTGATCCCTCATGATAACATGTCCAAAGTATGTGAGACATAGTCTTGCCATCCTTGCTTCTAAGGAGCATTCTTGTTGTATTTCTTCCAAGACAGATTTGTTCGTTCTTTTAGCAGTCCGTGGTATGTTCAATATTCTTCACCAACACCACAATACAAAGGCGTCAATTCTTCAGTCTTCCACCCTTTGGCCCCCCCAAATTCATGTCCTTGCCACATGTAAAACATATTTACCCCATCATATCATAGCAAAAGTCTTAAATCAACTCCAAGTCCCAAATCCAAAAATTACTCTTCATCTGTGAAATCTAGAATATAAGTTATCTGCTTCCAAAGTACAATGATGGAACAGGCACAAGCTATATATTTCCATTACAAATGGGAGAAATTGGAGGGAAAGAAGGGATAACAGGCACCAAGTGAGTCTGCAGACCACATTACATTAACCCTCGAGGCTTGAAAATAATCCCTTGTTCTCTGAGACCATTTACTCAATGGCCCTGTCCTCCAGACTCTAGGTATTGGCCACACTGTCGAGATTCTGAGTGGAGGCACCTTGGCCCTGGGCTTCACCTCTGCCTTCCAGGCCCACTGGAATGGCAATTCTGTTCCATTGGCTTTAGGCACACATTCTCCTAGTGCCTCTGAGGGGTGACTCCACACTTAGAAACACCAGAGGCAATGGGTCCACCCTTTGAAACCCCAGAGGTCTTAGCCATACCCTTTGAGACTGAGCCCACCTCTGTTTCCTGCATTCCTTGTCTCTTCAGCTTTTGCTTCCTGGTTCCTTGGCCTCTTGACCTTTGGACCTCATGCCCGCATCCGCCCTGCTGGAGCAAGTGTTCCAAAGCTCTGTAGCTCCACTGATAAGTGCCTGGAGGCACCCTACTCCACCAGGAGGCCTCCTGTGCACAGGCACTCAGCTCTCTCCCTCTGTGGGTTGGCTCCAGCACTGTCTAGTGCTGGTCTGCTCTTTCCGCCGCTGCCAGCTCTCTGCTGCTGCTTCTCACCATCTGCGCCATCTCTGGTGTTAACAATTCTCCTCAATTCCTTCTGAGTCCTCTATTGATTCACAGTTTCAAAACTGCTTCCACATTTTAGGTATCTGTTAGAGCAGCACTCCACTCTCTCGGTACCAAATTCTGTCTTAGTCATCTAGTGCTGCTGTAACAGAAATACCACAAGTGGATGGCTTTAACAAACAGAAGTTTATTCTCTCACAGTTTAGTAGGCTAGATATCCAAATTCAGGGTGTCATCTCCAGGAGAAGGCTTTCTCTGTTGGCTCTGGAGGAAGGTCCTTGTCATGAATATTCCTCTGGACTAGGAGCTTCTCGGAGCAGGAACCCCAGGTACAAAGGATGCACTCTGCTCCTGGCACTGCTTTCTTGGTAATATGAGGTCCCCCAACTCTCTGCACGCTTCCCTCTTTTAATGCATTTAGTCTAACGTGATAATATATTGTGAATAGCTTGATACTATAAAATAATTAGATACATAATTATAGAATTTACCTTGGCTATATTAGGACACTCCCTGGCATTTTTAGTAGAGCTTCTTCATTTCATATGAGTTTTCAGATACTAGAAAGGTTTGTGAGAGGTTTATGTGTGCAGAATAATGATTTACGTAGTCACTCTCTTCAATGATCTGTGGTAACACATAGCTTGAGAATACATACCTGCCCTTCTATGCCACCCCCAAAACTCATTGCTGTCAAGTTGATTCCAACTTATAGAGACCCGACAGAACAGAATAGAACTGCCCCACAGGCTGTAACCTTTACGGAAGCAGACTGTTACATCTTTCTCCCACAGAGCGGCTGGTGGGTTTAAACTGCTGACCTTTTGGTTAACAGCCCAGCTCTTAGCTTAACCACTGCACCACAGGGGCTCCTAGTCCCTTCCACTGCCACTCTTCACCAAATCCCCCAACCTAACTTTTCCTTATGTTTCAAGAGAAGGTCTATCCATAGATAAAAGTTTGACTTCTGGCTTGACCACTTCACTTCCTTGACCACTGTGGTCCCGTTTCTATATCTAAAATATGAGTACAGTAATAGTAATAATAATAATAAAGACCAAAACCCAGTTACCTTCGAGTCAACTCCAACTGATGGCGACTCTGTGTGTTTCAGAGTGCAACTGTGCTCTCTAGGGTTTTCAATGGCTGATTTTTCAGAAGTATATCTCCAGGCCTTTCTTCCAAGGCACCTCTGGGTAGACTCAAACCTCTAACTTTTCTGTTAATAGCTGAGTGCATTAAATGTTTTTATCACTCTGGTACCCCTACTATCTACTTTAATAGAGTTGAGAGGATTAAATGAGATAGGAATGTTCTCAGCACAATGTCTGGTAAACAATAATAACTTGGTAAATGCTAAGTATCTTAATTGTATCAAATCAGAGAGAAACAAGTAGCCAAATGCACTACTTTAATTTTCCTGTTTTATTCTTTTCTGTGTCCCTGCTCACCCTTTGTGAAGAATAATTTAAACCACATGTTTTAGGCTGGGTTCTCTAGAGGAACAAAACCAGCGAAGTGTATATATAAAAATATATACAGAGAGATTTATTTCACGGAAATGGCTCACACAGTTGTGGAAGCTGGTAAATCCCAAATCTGTGGGACCGGTGTCAGGCTGGAGGCTTTTCCTTACTCACATGGTTGCAGGGGCTGACAAACCCAAAATGGGCAGGTCAGGAGGAAGGCTATTGGCTCAAAGCGTTGTGAGACCTGGTGAATCCTCAAATCTGCATGTCAGGCTGCAGGCTGCTGGCTCATGTCCCAAAAACTGGAGGTCAGAGGATGACGAGTTGGATGCAGAATCAAGAGTGAGTGAGTTTTTCCAGCATGTCCATATATATTGGATGCAGGCCACACCTCCCAAAAGTTCCCCTTACATCAGATCACAAAATGGAGGATAATTACATACTACTGGGAATTATAGCCTAGCCAAGTTGACGCATAACATTAACCAGCACAGTCCACCCTGTCAACTTGGCACCTGTACACATCTCCTTAAACCATATATAATCTCTAAATAAAGACAAATATAAAGTCATGCTTGCACCTAACATGATACAGCTAACATGCGCACAACAGAAAATGCACTAACCCTGTCTACATCTTATATTTTATAATAAGTAATGGAATAAGGGAGGGAAGAAAACAAAAAATATGTATACGTGTGTGTGTATATATATATACATGCACATATAACAAAACAAGGAAGAAATACTCATAACAATTCCAATCCTCGTCTCTGCAACTGGTCACAAGGTTATAGCTGGTGTATAGAACTACCTTCTTCTACCACCCATTTCGTATTCCCTGTGCCCTCAGTGAGCACCTCAGCTGGCCATGGTTCTTTGCCTGGTGGGGTGACCCAAATCTTCATTCCTGAAGGGTTGTGGCCATTAGTAGTTATATGGGAATTGAGTTGCTGTAGTTTTCCATTGATTTTAATCACAGGATATA